GTTCAGGATTGGCTGTGAACTGTCCATATAGTTTGAAGATCTAGGGTCTCCTGAGCACTTAGAAACTACAAGGGCTTCACTTAAGAAAGGGTATGATATGGGCATAAAACCATTCTTCATTCAGCTGAAGATGGTCCCCTTCTGTAGCCAAAAACACTAGCTTCCCTGCTTTGTCCATTTCCTTTAGTCCCAGGCGGTCCTCTGTGTATAGAGTGGTCACCTGGAGGGGAATAGTTTTTTGGCCTGGCCGCTTCTATAAAATCCAAACCACTCAGACACTACAGGGTCCACAATGGAATCGTTGAGGAATTTCACCATCCCAAACTTCTTGAGGGCCATCAGGTTTTTCTTGTAGGATTCATTGACACTCACTTCTCTCTTGGTTTATGTCTGCCAAGAAGACACTGTGGTTGCGGTACACATCCTCCTTTATGGGGTCATGCCAGTATTCTGCTTGCACCAGGCATTCTTGAACAACTTTGGAGTAAGTGCCAGTACTGAGCATTTTCCTGATGAAGTCACAGATATGAGAGCTCTCTCCTGGGCATCGAGGGAGTCCAAAGACACCTTGCTGTTGTCCCCCAACTGAAATCAGATTCATCATGGAAGGCGTCGGGCATCTCTGAGCCACTGCCCTCAGAAACTGGCCTCCCTGGGAGAATCCTATAGCATTGTAGCCTTGCTGCAGCTTAGGACCCTTAGCAAGAATTTCACACACTACCCTTACTTGGGAATTGACATTTAAGAAGAAGCTGTTCGCCACATCCTCCATCATGTTCTTCCCAATCTCTAAAGATAAGACGTAAATTCCAGGTAGTTGCTTCTCCACCATCTTCTTAATGGCACCCATGCTCATGGGATTACAACTGTCCCCTATCCCATGCTAGATCACCGGTGGCGGTGGTGAGTCCGGATGCCCCAGCACCCTGGCCGCGCAACACCAGCTGAGAAGAGAGACAGCCAGGAGTCACCAAAGATCATCACTTCTCATTCAGGAAGTCTATGGAAGCCTTCCATAGGCTTCTTATTGGTTCACAATCCACAGAACACTTCAGACTGTAGGTTCTACTACCTTAAAGTCGTGTCCTCTCTCTGAGTGTTTGACTGCTCAGGACATGGATACTGGATCTAGGGATGAAGTATCTCTTAACATATGTGTAAATTAATGGGAATGAGCTCCCTCTGAAAACTCACGAAGGACATGGTAACATCAAATCTGACTCTAATTATGTCTTGTATCTGGTAGCTTAGAACAAGAAATGCCAGATGAAGTTTGCTTTGCTGTTAATCTGACTGCACGCTTATGTAATGTGCCACCAAATGAGACAGGTTTCCTCATTGTTGTTTTTTAATATTTTATTTATTATTTTTATTGTATGTGTATGCGTGTATTGTCTGCATGTAGGTAAGTGCACCCATGTCATGAAGTTCCTGCGGAGCACAGAAGAGGCTGTCGGATCTCCTGGAACTGGAGTTACAGACGGTTGTTAGCTGCCATGTGGGTGCTGGGATTTGAATCCGGGTCTTCTG